AAAAAAATAGCCTACACAAAGACATTTGGAAGGGGTTTGTGGCATCTGAACAACTTCCAACTATCATGATCAATAGTCAATAATACAAAATCACAGCATATCCACATTTATTTCAAGGCATTGTTGTTGGTAAAAATAATGCTGTATCTTACCCACACCCTAAATCCCCACCACCCGCCCCGGCAAAAAAGAATTCTAGCTAAAATTTCATGATGAAGAAAAAAGATATGAGTTAAAATTTTGGGTGTGTGAATGTATACATAATACACCCATGCATGTGTAATTAATAGACATATGGACTTCTCTATACCTTGCTGTGTTCTGGAGATGAGTATTGGAAATATTAATAGAACTGCCAGAACTTGAAGTTATGAAAGAACTACTTTAGTCGAGAGCATATAGAGGGAGAACTGAGGACTGTAACAGACTGAACACTAAGAATAAAATCAATATTTAAAGATGATGAAGCCATAACTGTTTTCATCATAGAAGGAAAGGAAAATCCAGAGAGATAGAAGGATAAAGAAATTAAATCGTATCTTGGAAAGTAAGAGAATAGAAAGTTTGAAGGGAAAAAAAAAGAACAATAGCGAGAACAAGTGAGAAAGGGGGTTTCAAAAATTCCTACTGGCGTGGATAATGAGGCTGTAACTGGTAACATTAGCAATGACAGTGCTAGCAGCACATAGGACACTGCTCTTCCTGTGAATCTGAGACAGTGAGGCAATGAAGGGAGAAATTAGAGATGTCTCCCCTGTTGCCTCCTCTGAGTGGTAGAAGTGCCCTCAAGAAAATACAAGAAAAGGAAGTATAATTTCCCCAGAGCAAACAGTAGTCCATAAAGACACAACAAACACAAAGAATTCATACTTTATGTACAACTGTTAAAGGACAAACGGGGACCTTGTTCAATAGCACTTACATAGTAAAGCCATTAAAAGAAGCATATTCCTCGGCTGTGAATCCGTGAATATCTTGGCGAGATAGGTCCACATCTTGCTGAAGAATGAGATTGACCAGAATAGTTGGTTCCTCACTGAGAGCAATCATAAGGGCTGTTCTGGAGCAAGAGAGAGAAACAAATGTCAGTTTACAGATCTTCAATTCACATGGTCTTTGAAAGTTCATCTTCTCATTTTGCTATTGAAATGTAGCCTTTCAGGGAGAGCGGGGGTGAAAATGCAAATGTGGGGGCAAATCTGTGCCGGTCACAGATCTGCAGACAAGGAGTCTCTAGAGAGCAGACACTGGCTTATCAATTGAGTCATCACTTAGTTTCAAAGACAGAAAAAAAATTGATTCTGGAAGCCTAGCAAATTTGCTCAACATTATAAGCCATATTTATCCTGTCTCAAATACATAGATACTGTATATGTAATATACTTTTGGTAAAATTTTATATATATAACAGGAATACATATGTTCTTATCCCCTAAGGTGCCTGTAGTTAGTTCTACGCTATCACGTTGATTTTCAGTCACTATACCTTTGAGACTTGTCTGAAGCATTCACATCCGCCCCTTTCTTCAGAAGGAACGCTACCATTTCTGCATTATGTTCAGTAATGGCAAGTAAAAGTGGGCTATATCCGTCCTGAAGAAGATATTTTAAATGACCATACAAACTATTATATCAGATATTGCATGCATGTTAGATTTAAATTAAAAAATTAATGTGTGTTTTTAAGAAACCTCTGGATATACATTTTCATTTTTAATAGGCTTTACTGTAAAAATCAAGAAAACAAATTGGGGTTGGGCCAATCAAAAAATAAAATTAAAGCCTCCAGATTTCTAGGCTCAATTCAATTGTGAGAAAAGGCCATATGGAGAGTTTCAGTGAAAACCATATCCCATTTAATAATATAGGTACTGCATATTATCCATTTACTTCATGTTGCCACATTTGGGCTTCCATAGTGTTCCACTCACACCTCTGAAGCTGGCCAAATAATATTGAATTAAGAATTTATGATACTTAAAACAAAATGTATGAATTAGGTCTTCATAATTTCTCAATATGAGCATTGGATCACTCTTATAGCATAATAAGTGATTTGCTAATTCAGCCCTTTTCTTATCCTTATTTGTGAGAGTATCAATAAAAGGAAGAGAGTGAGCTTTATGATTTTTATCATTACCCATGTACAATCAACTACTTCCCATTTGAACTAACAATCTAGACAAGTAGCGTGTTAAATATGATGTCACTTTGGAGGTTGAGATTACAACACAAAATGAACTGAAGAAAGACCTTATTTTAAAAGGAACACCTCAATTATCGGTTTTTAATCGTCTCCTTGTTCTTCCCTCCCTCCTCTCAAATCGACGTTGGAGAAATTCATTCACTGTAAAATTTGTATCTCAACAGATGTGAAGTATCTGCTATCTTCTTCAGTTGTTTTCTAAAATATAGGAATAGAAATTTACCCTATTTTGAGCTTCGAGATTAGCTTTGTGCTTGAGCAGCTTTTCCACTAATGAGACACTTGTACCGCAGACAGCATAGTGGAGGGCAGTATTGCCGTGGCCGTCGGTGAGGTTTGGGTCTGCGCCGTGTTTGAGAAGAAGAACAGCGCAATCCTCCTTTTGACACTTCACTGCCTGCAGTACAAGAGCGTATGAGTTGCCGACTTACATGGTAAAGTAAGGTTCAATAGCATGATCTGTTAATGTTTGATACTGTGCTTTAAAGTATGAAAATGCACGACATAACCCCAGGGAAGAGCTCAAACACCTTCCATAGCCACAAGTACAATTAAACAGGAAAAACCAATACCATCATCAAGGGAGATCTGTTTTCTCCATCCTGGGCGTGTATATTGCATCGTTTCTCTAGTAAGGCCGACACGATGTGTGGATATCCATTCGCACAGGCCAGATGCAAGGGTGTTCTACATCAATACAATGAAACGCAATGTTAGAGAGACGTCTTCATTTGACAAGTTACTTCTGTTCCCCAAGAGCGAGCCAGAGCCTATTTTCTGAAAGTATCTGTTTCGTGTGCTTGTTGACACTGGCAGGTTGTCACGTCATGCCACCAAATTCAAAAGGCAGGGCAAATGGCTTGGAGGATAGATGTTTAATAGGTTTTACCTTCAAGGGGGGGGGAAAGGTATTTAGGATTGGGAAGGAGGCCAATATTAGGTAGGTATTCCAGTAAAATTTAGAAATGGTCTCCAAAGTCTGTGTTATATGTAACACTTAACAGGGGGCAGGAGGGGCGCACATTAGATGTGTTAGATGTATCCAGCTGCATGCTGACCCTCCCTCTTTGTTCAGCGTTTGAAGTCGGCGTTTGTCTTCAATGAACACAAAAGGATAGGTTTGGATTTAGGTTGTGGATCTTAGTTTAATTTTGAGTGAACTCACTTGTGTATGCTCCCCACTGAAACAGCCTCCTGTGCGACCTCTCAAAAGGCAAGGGCACATTCATGAGCAATGAGGACACGAATCAGTTCCGTTGACACTTGGCAGCTTTTAACCCTGCCCTCAATAAACTTCTGTCAAGATGATATTGTTGTACAAAAGAATCGATTCTTTTAAAATATGATGTTGAAGAATATTGAATATGCCAGGGACCCTAAGAAGAACAGGCAAATTGGTCTTCACAGAAAAACATTTCGAAGGGTCTGTAGAAATGAGGAAAGGAGCCCTGAGGGCATAGTGGGTGACAAGTTGGGCGGCTCACTGCAGTGGTCGGCAGTTTGAATCTGCCAGCCTCTCAGAGGGTGAAAGGTGAGACTTTCTACTCCTGTAGAGAGCTGCGGCCTCAGAAACTCCCGGGGGCAGTTTTGCCCCATCCCATAAGGTCACTATGAGTCTGATGAGACCTGATGACAGTGAATTTTGACTTTTTTCAAATGTGAAGTGGGCAAGACTTCCTCTCACTGGGTCTGACCTGTGTCCAGAGGATGTAATTCTCAGTAAAGCAGATGGTCAGCAAGAGGAGGAAGAGGAGAGGGACTGGCACTGGGGTTGCAGCCATGGTCCCAGACCCAGCAATGCTGATCAGAAAGGGGCAGGACCACGTCAGGGGCTGGCTCTGTTGGGCATAAGAAGAACTGACGTAGTGGCACCGAACAGCAATAACATAGATAAATTGACATATTCATTTATATGTGATTTATGTCTGCTGCCAGTGCGTTAGATGGCCGGAAGTCTGTTTCCCTGAGTTAACTATCTCTGGAACCCTGGCAGTGTCAAGGACCAGTCCCTGGTAGCCAGTGAAGTCAGTGCGGGATGTCCAGCCTCTGGCCTCTAGGGAAACCTTCTTGCAGCCATCTAACGGAGACAGGCCTGCCACAAGTCTGTCACATTCTTAACCTCTCCTGCCACATTTTAACCGAGAACTGTGTCAGTCTAGAATGATACCTTTCTTAACAACAAGGACAAAGTACCTTCTATCAAAAGCTAAGATGGTCTTATGGCATTGTAATTATAACTAGAACTTTCTAGAAAAATAATCTCTCTCAAAATAATAAGTACAGTCCTTGAGAGGATCAAAAAAGCTTCTAGGTGAACAGTGTTTCCTCCTACCAATAACTATCCATTGTATAAAGACACTTGGAAACGTTGATGGGAAATTTTTGCATGTTTTTTACTGCATCAAATTTCTAATTATAATCATTTTAATTATTAAATATAATGGAATATTATTGAATCCTAGAGAGAAATGAAGTTTTGATATGATGTGATACAAATGAACCTTGAAATACTATACCAAATAAAATAATTCAGACACAAAACAACAACTATTACATGATGGCACATATGAAAAATCTGAGGAGCCCTATTGGCGTAGTGGGTTATACAATGAGTGCCTATCACAAGGTCACCAGTTTGAAACCACTAGTCTCTCTGCAAGAGAAAGATGAGGCTTTCAATTCCCATAAAAAGTTCCTCTCAGGAACTCCCAAAGATAGTTCTCGTCTGTCCTACAGGGTCACTGAGAGTTGGAATCGACTCGATGGCAGTGATTTAGAGTTAATATGAACTATCTATGATAAGAAAAGTCATAAAAGCAAAGATGCCTAAGTGGTTCAACAGAGGCTGGGGATGGAGTATGGGCATGGGAAACTGTGGCTTAAAGAGTACTGAGTTCCTCATATACACTTTGGGGGGACTTGTAAATATACACAATCACTACAGATAACTGAAAGCAACAGGGAAGTGAACTTCTACACAATCCAGCAACACCACTATTAGGCATCTACCCCAAGGAAATGAGACACAATATGAGTGGATGTATGCTTTCCTACGTTGATAGTTGATAGCACCACCGTTCACATAGCAAGAAACTGGAAGTAGCCCAAGTGCCCAACAGTGGAAGAATGGATGAACAAACCATGGTCCACACACACAATGGAATATTATGTATCCCGAAAACACAGTGATAAA